AGGCCTGCTATTTCAGAAGTGGGTGGCCAATCCTTCTTCCTAGTCTGTCTTAATCTGAATGTTCAGATTTAGAGGAGTATCTGACAGACAGCAATTTGTGAAGCAGTGAAAGATAAATCCCTTATTGTGGATTCTAGATGAACCATAAAGAAAATGAAGGGGGGGAAACTAGAATGATGTGGGATAGCATCAAAAGAAATAGCATATGTATTATTGGAATTCCAGAGCAGAGGGGTGACAGGGAAATCACTGAGAAAATTGTGGAAGAATTACTAGAAAAAAACTTCCTAGATATTTTGAAGAATGAGGAAATCCACATTCAAGAAGCACAGCAAACATCAAATAGACTAGACCCGAAAAGAAAAGGAAAACATCAAGACAAAATCATAGTCAAATTCTTCAAATTGAAAGATAAGGATAGAATTCTAAAAGCAGCATGAGAAAAACAGTCACCTATGAAGGGGAAATAATTAGATTAAATTCTGATTTCTCGGCAGAAACCATGCAAGATAGAAGACAATGAGATGACATACAGAAAGTTGAAAGAAAATTATTGTCAGCCAAAGATCCTATACCCAGAAAAGCTTTCCATCAATTATGAAGGAGAGATTAGATCCTTTGTAACAAAGAAGAAACTTAAGGAATTGTGAAAACAAGACCAAAACTACAAAAAATTTTAAGTGAAATCCTTCACACAGAGTGTTAAGGGAAAGTGGATGAACTATCGTAACCAGAAACAAAAGAAAAAGAAATGTGGAAAAATGGCAAATGTAAAACCTGGCCTGACAAAAATCATACTGAAATGGAATAAATGCACCCATTCAGAGAAAAAGAGTAGAAGAATGGAATTTTTTTTCTTTTTTTTTTTTTTACATACTGTATTATCTTTTATTGGACAGAGTTCTCAGTCTAGGAGACAGAGGGCTGTTGAAGAAGGGAAGGGCGCCAGGGCAAAGGCACCTTGCCAGGAATGCAGACGGCACCTCTTAGTGGTACTTCCATAACCGTTCATGTTTGAGCTTCTTGTAAGAAAGGCAGTAGCTGAACACCACGTAAGCTGTCAGCACCATGGACAGCCCAGCAATGCTCCCCTTCTTCACGTTGACGTACTTGTAGTATCGGTATAGCCTTGCTGGAATGCTCCTGCGATGCCACTCGGGGTGAAGTCCCACATCAATATCCAGCTGGGCAGCTCCCCCAGTTTTACATCCATGAGCTTCCTCACCTTTAGTGGTATGACGGAGGCCATCTTGGAGTCCTGGGTGTCCGCAGAAGAATGGATTTTATAAAACCAAATTCAATCAATGTGTTGCCTACAAGAGACACATCTGAAAAAAAGAAGAGAAAGGCAGAATCAAAATCAAAAGCTGGGGGTAAAAGATACCAATAAAATGGTAACTTAAAAAAAGCAGGAGTGGCAAGACTAATCTCTGATAAAATATATTTCAGAATAAAAACCACCATAAAAGATAAGGGAGGATATTATATACTGATTAAAGTCACAACAGAACAAATATATATAATCTTAGTCAACATAGGCACACAGTGACAGACCTGCAAAATAAATAAAACAACAGTTAATAGAACTGAAGAAAGAAGTAGACAGCAACACAATAGTGGTAGGAGATTTCAAAACACCAATATCACTAAAGGATAGGACAACCCAAAAGAAACTCAACAAAAATGCAAATTATCTAAACTATACAATCAGCCAACTAGACCTTGTGGATGTAATCAGGGTACTGCACCCAACTAAAACTCAATTCATTTTCTTCTTAAGTGCACATGATACATTCTCAAGAATATATCACATATTAGAACACAAAGTAAGCCTCAACAAATTAAAAAACATTGAAATAATATAAAGTATCTTCTCAGATCACAATGCCATAAAAATAGAAATTAATCACAGGAGGGTTTAACTTATAAAACTATCCATGTGGAACCTAAATAACTCTTTGCTAGAATACGATTGGGTTATAAAGGAAATAAAGAATTAAACTTTTAATAATTAAACTTTAAAAAGTTCTTTGAAACAAATAAAAATGCAGTATACCAAAACCTCTCAGATACACCTAGTCTTCAGACTGCAGTTCATAGCAATAGGCACACACATAAAAAAGGAAGGGAAAAAAAATCAATTCTCTATCTCAACACCTTCATCAAATACAAAAAAGAACAACAATCTAATCCTATAGCATCTAGAAGAAAAGAAATTATAAAGAGCTGAAAACCATGAAATAGAAAATAGAAAAACAATTGAAACCATCAGTGAGACCAGGAACTGGTTCTTTGAAAGGATTAATAAAATTGACAAACCACTGGCAAACTTAATAACAGAGAAAAAGAGAAGACACAGATAACTTGATTAAGAAATGATAGAGGTGAAAAAAATTTCATAGGTGTCATAGTCTGGTTTCTTGCCTAGACCACTAGACCACAGCACAGCTATCTGTCAGAGCCAGCCCCCTCTGACTGGAGATCCCCCACCTCCACCTCTGCTGCCTGGACCTTTGAACCTGATTCCTAAAGGACCTTACCCAGCTTCCTGGACACTGCCACCTGTCTTCTGGAAGCCCAGCATCAGCCCTTCACCTGTAAGTCCTAGTCCCACTTCCTGAATGCTATGCCTGCTGCCTGGAAGTCCCACCCCTGCTGCCTGGAAGCCTCCAATATTTGGACCCACAGCCTGAACACCTAGCACTAATGCCTGGAGGACAGCCCACTGTTGCCCTTCTGAACTGTGTCAGAGACGAATATCACACTTGAACCCCTTTCCTTTCCTTTCCTTTCCTTTCCTTCCCTTCCCTTCCCTTCCCTTTCCTTTCCTTTCCTTTCCTTTCCTTTCCCAAAGGGTAAGCTGCTGCCTTTAGTCCAGAGTACCTTGGACTGTCCTAGCTGCAACAGTTGTATGACAGAAGAGGCTGCTAATTCACAGGCCTTATCCCTCCTGAACTGAAACAAGTCTTCCCTTGAGTCAAAAGTCCAGAGAGGAAATCAGGCAGGGTAGCTGCCCCACCCTCTTCTAGAGCAATAACATTAGGCCAAGAGTCTACTATTGTCCCAGGCATGAAAGACTCTACCACAGCAATGTCCCATAGGAAGCAGGCTATCTCACACTCTACACAAAAGCAAAATAAGATGTCACCTCCAAAAAGTGTCACAGTATCAATGGATTTCCTGAAACCAGAAAGTCTCGATGGAACTTTCTGACACAGAATTTAAAAGAACAATGATTGAATATTTTCAGTGGGTGAAAGAAAAATTATGAAGAATTACAGGACATTTCAAGCAAAAACAAAGAGGAACTTTTAAAAAAAAATCCAAAACAATGTAGATAAAATGAATGAGGCATTAGAGGCTCCAGGGGAAAAAAAAACAAAAACCCACAATTCGAAATATGAAAACCAATATTTCAAATGCTGTCAACATGTTGGAGGGAAATAAGAATAGCGTTGAAGAGATGGAACATAAAACCAGTGAAACAGAACATAGAATTGTCACCACTGATCTGCTAGGGGGGAAAAGCAGAATCAAAAAGGAAGGAAAAAGAAGAAAGCCTTTTAAAAAGTGGGACACCGAGACCGGGGGCGGAGTGGTCGGCTGACCTGAACAAGGCCTAGGGTTGATACAGGCCGCTCGCCTCGGCTTTAGGCTTGCCTGCGCCATGGCGAGTCAGTCGCAGGGCATTCAGCAGCTGCTGCAGGCCGAGAAGGTGTAGGAGGCCCGCAAGCGGAAGAACCGGAGGCTGAAGCAGGCCAAAGAAGAAGCGCAGGCTGAAATTGAACAGTACCGCCTGCAGAGGGAGAAAGATTCCAAGGCCAAGGAAGCTGCGGCTCTGGGATCCCATGGCAGTTGCAGCACTGAGGTGGAGAAGGAGACCCAGGAGAAGATGACTATCCTCCAGACCTACTTCTGGCAGAACAGAGATGATGTCCTGGATGATCTCCTGAGCTTTGTGTGTGACATCCGGCCCGAAATCCATGAAAACTACCGCATAAATGGATAGGAGAGGAAGAGACCCCTGCTCCATGGATGGGCGTTTTAGATGCTGTGACATGGAATAAGATTTAGCAAAGCTTTCTTCTTGTGACAAAGCGTTAAATTATTTCTGTATATTATAAATTCCTTTACTTTTTGGAGAGTAGCAAAACCTAATACTTTGTGTAGATTTAGAGCTTATCCAAAGATTTCATCTTTTTACCTCATATTTCTTATAAACGTAACAATTTTCTTAGGCTTTTTGGCTGTAGTTAGCATATATCAATATGAGTTCTTTCTTAGATAGCTAGTAAAAGGAAAACAATTCTTCAAAGAAAGAAATGGGTTAAGTATTTCATTTCCCTAAATCTTTCTTGAAGGTCAGGGGCTTTATTGATGAAAAAGTAGTAAATGGGTTTTTTGTAACTTGTTTGAATAGCAGCCCACCTTAAAAGAATCCTTTCTGTTAGAAAAATGAATAGAGGTTTTCTTTGCTATCCAAAAGTAGAGCCTTCTCGTGACACCTTTACTAAACCAAAATGAAATGAAGGTGCAGTTAACGTTCATTTATGTGGGAAAATTTTTAAACATTCTCAACCCCCAAAATAAGTTACCAAATAATGCATAAAGCCGAAAAAAGTTAATCTAATGTTCAGATAATTCAGAACTGATGGCTCAATGTGGAAATGCTGAGTGTAGTAACCACGAAAGGAGCTTGATAACACTGAATGCTTGGTGTGCACTGTTGCAAGAACAAATGCCTGGATGCTGGTTTCACTCTTTTTGCCTTTTTTCTGTAAAAGCAAAAATCCCTTTTAAATTTATTTCAGTTTATGGAAACAGGTACTAAAGAAGGCCCTTTGTTAAGTGAGGTGACATACAGCGACCTTTCAGAAAGCAGAACACACTTGTAGTCGTCTAGTTGGGGCTGCTCTTGAGTTTCTTGTAGAAGTTCCTAGATAGTAGAATATGGAAACTTGTTACTTGTTATTAATATACTGGTAATCATTTAAAAGTAAAGATTCTTTGTCATGAAAAAAAAAAGCGGGACACCATAAAGAGAAATAACATGCACATAATCAGAATCCCAGAACAGGAAGAAGTAAGGAAATGCACCAAGAAAGCTGTAAAATTATTATTAGAAGAAAACATTCCGGGCATAATGAAGAATCAGAGAATATATATTAAAGAATTTGAACCAACAACATAGAGAATAGACTCCAAAATGAAAACAACAAGGCATATCATAGTCAAATATGCTAAAACCAAAGATAAGGAGAGAATTCTGAAAGCAGTTAGGGAGAAACAAAGAGTAACCTATAAGAAAGAGCAAATAAGATTAAGTTCTGATTTCTCAGCAGAAACCATGCGAGCAAGAACACAGGGGGATGAAATATATCGAACACTCAAAGAACACAACTGTCAATCAAGAATGCTGTACCCAGCAAAACTGTCCATCAAATATGAAGGAGAGATCAAGACAGTCTCAGAAAAGGAGAACCTAAGGGAGTGTATTGAAACAAGACCAATGTTGCAGGAAACATTTAGAAAGTTCTTCCTTACAGAGGTGCAACAAAAATCAAAGTAACCAGCAACAACATAAAAAAAGAACTCAACAAAATAATGGCAATAAAACCTTCCCTCTCAATAATCACACTGAATGTGAATGGTTTAAATGCACCAACGAAGAGAAAAAGAGTAGCAGATTGGTTTAAAAAACAAAATCCATCAATAAGCTGTCTACAAAAGAGACACCTGAAAAGTGAATATAAAGAAAGACTAAAAATAAAAGGATGGGGGGAAATATACCAAGTAAATGGCAACTAGAAAAAAGCAGGAGTAGCAATATTAATCTTTGATAAAATAGATTTCAATGCAAAAACCATCACAAAAAACAAAGAAGGTCACTACATGATGCTTAAAGGGTCAATAGAACAAGAGGACATGACAATAGTAAATGTCTACCTACCAAGTGATAGAGCTGCAAAATATACCCCCCAAAATTAGCAAAACTAAAAATAGAAATAGACATCACCACCATAATAGTTGGAGACTTCAATAAACCACTTTCAAGAAAAGATAAAACCACCAGAAAAATATTCCATAAAGATGCTGTGAAAATTCTTTCCATGTCTTTTCCCCACTTTATAATTGGGTTATCAGTCTTTTTCTTGTGGAGGCCCAGGACTATTCTGTAAACTTTTGTTATAAGACTCTTGTTTGAAAGGGTATTACCAAATGTTTGTTCCCAGTCTGTAGGGGTTTTTT